GGGAAGATGGAGCGAGTGCACATACTGCGGCGATTCCATCTGGGAAGGTTATTAGCAAGGTAGGTAGAAGAGAAGAGGCAGTAATACATACAGTTCTTTACAACACTGTTATGTGAAAGTTGGAAACGGCGGCCGGATAAACCAGATTCATCTGCTATCGGCGCTGTTGAGGACGAGGAACGATCTTTTCCACTCATGATTTTTGATTGAGGATTTCGATGAAGTTTGGAAGTTGCAGTTACGAGCTGAGACGGCGCCAGCAAGAATACTTATATTGCGGCGGTGCAATAGCAATGCAACGTTATAACTGCAGCAGGTGGAGCAAGGAGGCGGCGTCTATATGCACTGCAGGCGAATTCGAAGGGGGGGTTGAAAAAATGAGGGGTAGAAGAATCGAATTAATTTAAAGGCGGTGAAGAAAAAAATTAAGAATATAAAGAAAAACTCGTTTGTTAAAGTGAGCGGAAGGGATGTGTGCTTTATCTATGAGCGGGCTTGCGGTGTGCACCCTGAGTCTCCAAGCACCATGTCAGTAAGACCGTAGGCAGTCTCTCGGTACCGGTGCTTGTACCCATCCGACCATAGAGTGATATAACTGCCCGGCAGGGCTAGGGCCTGCTCGAGATGAACCGACGCAGAACGGGGGCGCAAGAGTTCTAGCGAAAAATATGCGTCAAATGGTAATCCTACTTGCTGATTTGGCTCAACCGAAGGGGAGCTGTATGCGAATTGAAGATCAAAATCGAAAATTGTGATTCTCAGCCGCCATAGCTTCGTATCAGGCTAGATGCAGTCATAACCGCCCACTCAATTGGATGCACACCACCTCCAGTCTACTCGCAGTCTATTCGCAGTCTATTCGCAGCAACCTCCACGACTGGTGATGACACCATAACTTTCAGCTCAGGCAAACACCAATTAAACTTGACAGCTGTAACTTTGGCATTCGATACTCCGGGTCTGGCCAACCCGGTTCAATGCAGCAAGGCAATCTCAACCCTCGTGAACCCCAGTCCGAGCAACTCTCCGTTCTTCACGCGCCGTTCATGGCTAAAAGCCTGCTCAACAAACAGCGGGTATCCGCTGTGCATACTATATGTACAGCGAGTGCGCGCAGCTATATGATACATTTTGAATACTGCATAGTCCGGACGTCCCCGTCGTCAACAATTAATATTTAGAGTGATCTCTACGATTTACTGCTGGCTCGGCGACGCACGGTGGTGATGCAAGCATATGCCGGACGGCGAAGTTTAGAAGATAAGAAACCTTGAAAAACCTTGGAATGCAGTGCTGAGCTTACATTGATTCCTGAACGGTGACTGTTTGGCCGAATCGAAACGATGGCAGAGGGCGTTATACGTTGGTGGCACGATCAGAAGGCAGCAATATCACAATCCAATCCCGAAGAATGAGAATTTTGTACGCTGGTTGGGGACGCGCAAGAATTAAGCGGGATTGGTGGCCTCTCTGTTTCAACAGACGGGGCTCAAACAACTTGTTAGCCGAGCGAGACTGCTTGTACACACACCCAACTTAGGGCGGTCAATTGGGACTGCATCATGTCGATGGTTACGATGCTGACTGGGAAATTGGCTGAAACGCGCTACCCAGCAGTCTGTTTCGACTCCTTATTTTAAACTCACATCAGCCAGCGTCATCCATCCCTTGCAAACTTGGCCAAAGCAGGCCTGCACTGCACCCCAGCCGCACGGCGCAACAGTCATATCGTGTATCGTCTTCGCACACTTCTACACATGCCACAGCTTCATCTGTTGTAGAGCGCATACACGTGTATATTTGTGTCGTGAGCGCAAGGGGGGGCTCTCTTCACTGGGTTCTTAGGCCTATAGTTTTTTCCCACCATTATCGCATAGTTTACATTATATTACATTCCCTCAAGATGATATATCACGCAACCACCCGTGCCTTTCATCATATTAAGTGCCGAGTTATTGCTCAATCGAACTGGAGGGTGAGCATGAGCTGCTCGTTGTGGCTATGTATAACGCTGTGTGATAATTGCGATAGTTTCGATATACTATACCCTGCAATTATCCGACTTGTTGGTGTGTACCACGTGGGTTATCGTGGAGAAGAATGTCCGGAAAGCCCCAAAAGTAGTGGCTGAGAGCTAATACTTCTTTGGTGACAGCTGCAGGTACCAACAATAACTTCAAGTGGGGAAGACGGCGCCTAATGCCCATCCATGAAGAGCGCCGCACATCCGAATACTTAAGTAGTTTCGAGAATATAGATGTAGTTCCGGCCAATCATCGTCGTTATCGATCGCCTGCAGATTGTAGATTTCGGAACCAAGAGTGACTTCTACCTATTTAGCCCAGTGTCTCATTTTCGATCTTGATACATCTATAGAGACCGGTGTAGATCAATAAAAGCAACGCCCAGATCTTGTCCATCCATCCCTTTGCGGCTGCAAAGTCTCCCGGTTTTCAGGAATCTAGATGCATCCCAGAATTCGACTGAGACAGCAGCACGTTTGTATTATTCCTTCTTTAAAGCGTCCGGTCTTGAACCACTACATAGTTGCGAATAATAGTTCAGTGTACAAGGTACTCAGAAATCGCTCCATCAAAAAAGCGCGGCCCGCGGGCCCGCTAATTACGCTACCTAGGCCTACCAAAAGTCAGGATTTCGGATTCGGAATCTCGCAGAGCATGTGGGCGTGACCCGATCCAACCCGGATCCGCGTTAATCAAATTGAACCACCCGCTCCCTTGGCTTGTTGTCTACAGCTTCGAACAAACTACCGTGTGGTCAGTTAATATGTGAGCCAATGCAAATGTCCTGATTTACCGTTTGAGCAAGTTACGGTGACAAAACTGTAACACAATCACGGTTGTCAACTAAAGAGCCGAAGGATTCTCTGGATGGTATGGTATGGCGAGAAGTAACGTGGATTGTGAGAAACACCCTGTGAACTTCAAAACAAGGAAAGAACAAGGACCATGGAGAATTCGAGATAATCGCACCGGCTTATCTGTGTAGGTTCACCAAAGCGGGCGTTGGATCGAGTAGAAAACTTTTTTTACTAGAAACGGGCTGAACACATATGGTAGGATATCACCGAATCTCACTCGGTAAAATTTCACCCATGAAAACATCACTAATTTTTTAGTGTTGGAGGTTGATTTAAAACTGGGATGAATTCAGGTAGAGATCCTAGTAGTATGGGCCTTTTATTTCTAAACACCTTTTGCTCCTAAGCCGACCAGAAGATCCTTGAGTAGAAATACATTTTTTACTTGCCGGAATCTGCACAAATCATAGCATCCGGCTTGGTCTCCAAGTGCTATATTGAACCTGGCCTGATACGACGACATCTCACAACTGCCTTGTTCTTTCGAGTTATCGTAAGATAATGACATGTGGAATCAAATTACTGGTTTTCACGAATCGTTCGAACGACCGGCCGTGCGACCCTTTAGTCAAGCAAATCCTAGTGAACGCCCGTTCTTTGTAGATTTTGTGAATTATGCCGCATTGCGCCTGACAGAAGACTTCACTACAGCTCCAACTACCGATCGGGACGGGTGTTTTTTGTTCTAATTGATCCAATACTAGAAACAGCAAACGGCATAACCAGGCCTGCAAGGAGGGACTGAAGGCCTCCTCATATATTGACCAGAACTTCGAGGCTTAAGCCTTCATGAGAGAAAAAAAAATAACGAAAAAACAAGAGTAATAAACTAGGCCCAAAGGCCATCATCAAATCCAACTAATAGAGGACACATGTACCGACGATACCAGGATTTCCTCAATACAGAAGCTTTGCCTGGGGTCTCACTGACTAGATGTGGTTTGGGGCAAGCTGTTGCCTAAAACCGTTACTTCGTTTTCTAGCTGAACCCAAATATTGCCGATTTATTTCCTTGGCCATCTAGCCGATATCGCGCAAAACTAATCAATCAGACAATCGGAGATACCACACCTCCGCAATAATTTTGCTTAGCCAATCAAATTTTGCTTGAAAATGTCCAATTGCCAAAAGCGAAGTTAACAACCTATTTCGGGGCTAAGAGTTCTCCGCAGTCCCAGCCACCGACCCGTAGCCCCGTCGTTCGCCACGACTTCAGTACGGCATCTTGCCACTGAGTACCTACTTACGGTACCAGCATGCATGCCCAACTCATCTCGTTCGTTTGCTTGAGGGCGATGACCCGCTTAGAGGTTCCACCGCAGAAATAATTACAAGCAAAGAATCACCATTTAGATTGGGATGGCATAGTCAGCCGTAAATTTGAAGTGCAGCCCCGAGAGCTGGAATGGGTGACGGTTGAAATTGCAATACAATTACATTCATTTAAATTTCCCTCCATGAAGCTCTGGTAGCTCAGGGGTTAGAGCGGTCGATTGCAGATCGACAGGTCCTCGTTCAAATCGGGGTCAGAGCTCGTACTTTTTTTCTCTGAAGCTCCGCTGTTTTGTTTTTTCGATACCCGCTAGTGGCGTGATGGGAATTCAGTTGATTTTGCACTGTAGATATCGGTCCAGTCGAATAGTCCACAGGGTATGTCAGCAGCTTCAAAGGAACGAGTTTTGAGGTCCTTGACATCGACGGTCGATAGTCAATATTCTTGTGAGAACAGAAGTTTAAGTCTTAACTGTCCCAGATCATCAAAATAGCTCGCGCCCTTGACCAATGGCTTACAACGCGCGAATTTATATTTCCATCTGGCGTATTATCTTCCCCAACACACAGCCTTGCTGACATACTTCTGGTTGGATACAACTTTTCATCTGACGTTGAAGCTGACCGGTTGACGTCAATGTCTTCAAAGTCCGTCTACTATATCCTTTTCGACCGATACATGCCTACCAATGTCATCTGAGAAACTAGGAACCTGTCAATGTTTCTAAGTTTAATTTCGTATAGAATGGTCTCCTGTGTGGGGTTCGGAGAATCTTAATAGGACCGGTTACTCGTCGTGTTACAATACAGTATATCTATAAAAATACAACTCAATCATTAATTATCATCCGTTATGGTATAGTGGCTAGCTCGGCCGCTCTCATCGCGAAAGTCTCACACCAACCCGACCGGGGTTCGATTCCCCGTAGTGGGGTTTTTTTCATCTCTTGCATCATCACCCTACTTTTGGTTGTTGTATGTCCTATTTGTTATAGCTG